AAAGAACTTTCAACTCTCAAGCAAAAGTGAGTATACTTATAATGTATTGAAGAAAGACAACTTTGAAGTCACAACTCATAGCATCTAGAAGGTTACATACATAGAGAGTATGGAGTAAGATAACTCTTACTTCTAACACCCACTACTTTTTGGTGGTAATTGCTGCCCTTAATGACAACTTCTATCTTTTGATGATTACATCCATCCAAAGATATATTAAGTATATCTTTTGATATCTTATTAATTACAAAGATATACCTTTAGCATATTGTTTATGTTTCTAGGATCTTTTATCAAAGATATATATAGCATATACTTTATACTTTATCTAATTATATACTTTATACTCTTATCTAATTATTGGATATTTTTTAGTTGATTCTTTATCTTCTTCACTTTATCTCTTAATCTTTGACTTAGTCTTTTATTCATATGATGGGCTTTTCGCATACCAAAACTCAATTCTTTGATGATTAGTACCTTACATAAGATATATCTTCTATAAGGTAAGTTATTCTACTTTCACTTTTACTTATTTATTTGGATAAGAATTTATTTGGAAATTTTTCAATTCTTAGTATATATGGATGTGAAAGTTGAGAGATTCTTTTGTCTTAACAATGCATGTCTTGTGGTCTAGTTTGTCTGTCTAGTCATGTTTTTGTTCTTATATTGTGTTGCTTCGTAATAATATTCTTATATTTTGTTATTTTTTTTAGGCTTGTGCAAGTTCTTTCAATTCATTTGTAATAGTGAATAACACAGAAGAATGAACCTTGTGAAGATAGACAAACACATATACACACAGAGTGAGGACAAATTAGATCGTATTCGTAGGAGTGCTGCAGAGGAGCCGAAACGCCATGAGGCAGCAGCCGCTAGTCGACAAGAGCAGCAAAATGATGTCATTTTTGCTCTGCAGGTTCTTGCATTCCGGAACTCTTAGCACATCCGTGGGTATTTTGTGATTAGTAACACAGGTTAAAAACGCTGATCATGTCCTGATTGGGAATGTTAATACGTCGTATGAGCTTTATGTAGTCTGTACGATCCAGTGACGCATGATTTTCACCTCATGTACCCGGAAGTGTTCGCCTACTCTGATGAGTTGGATTGCTTCAAGGTCCTGCCAAACAGACAATCGCTTGATTATTTCCTCAACCACTTAGCGTTAGATTTGGGCAGCTGAGGTAAACTTAGGCAGACATGCAGAGAGTTGAGATATGAGAAGGTATGCTATGTTGATGATTCTTGGTGTTGAAAGTACTTTTCTACCAAGGAACCACTGTTCATCCTAGGGATTGTTTCATGCAAACTATGGAGTGCGACATAAAAAGGTCTCATTCTTTTACTTCAATGTTGAACAATACTCTTCACCAACAGTATATTTGATAGGATTCCGCACCTTCCATTTTCTAGTTGTGTGCCTCCGACTTTATCACTGGTAATTTGCAAAAGTGCTTTCCAAAGCATGTGCTAGTGATTGAGGAAATAATCAAGCGTTTGTCTGTTTGGCAGGGTCTTGAAGCAATCCAACTCATCAGAGTAGGCGAAAACTTCCAGCCTGCACATCCGAAGATAAAGACATCACGTGAACGACTGGTATCTTGTGGAGAAGGGATACTTGAAGACCGAGTGGCAGAGAGGGAAATATTTGAACAACCATAATCAATTGCAGTTCCTATACTTTTTTCATCGGCCTAAATGAGATTGCGCTTGGTCTCAATCTATACGCTCTTACAAGTATAAGCCAATTCCCAATCTGTGCCTAAGACCCTGGGCAGAAGCAACCATCATGAATGGTTGGTCAAGTTTGAAACAAACTCATAGCTGACAGAACAGCACTTAAATTGGCCGCACTATCTGGAGATGAAGATACTTGAAGTTCAAACAAACCAAAATAGAGTAAAAACATTTGATTAGAAAGCCATTTGAAAACCTGAATTTGTAGAATTTTTCGTAGCCATTGTCTTGCCTCAACATGAGAGAAAATACGCTACCCCAGATCCCGGAGGACAAAGCCTACAGCAATAAAGAGCTATTGCTTAGGAATACAAGCTCTTTGGACCTGTGACAACATGTAAGGAAGGTAGTAGTCATAACAATGAGGCAACCTGGTTTGTGATGTACCCAAAGTGGCATGCAGATGACAGTTAAATTTCTAGCAGGTTGTGTAAGATTGCATGACATTGAGGTGGCATCCTGGTTTGTGACATACCCAAAATGGCTTACAAACCAATGTTGAATTTCTAGCAAATTGTGTTAGCTGCAAGCTCTACTGTTGTTGACACTTGCCTTTCAATTCTTGTATAAAATTAAAATCGAGGAGAATCCATCTCTACATATATACCCAAAGACACTATGTGTAGTAGATATTTATTTTATTCAAGAATTTGGATATTTCAATTTTTTTTTAATATACTTGCTTATCTTAGTAACTCAAGGGTAATGAAGGCCAAAGTGAAGGCACATTATTTATAAACAAAGTAACAAACATTAAATGTATTAGAAAAAGAAGAATAATGTGACTCCCACTATTGTCAAGATTCAAACTTGGAGTCTTCTTTGCCACTTCTACAATCCACTCTAGCTCTAGATGTACTCCCTAAATTTAGAAATAGATGTGCAAGAAAAAGTTATCTCCCTTATCCATTGTGTTTCAAGCAGAGGGAATATGTGTGAGCCAGGATCTTCTCCCCAAAAGTGCTTCTATGGATGATAATCCATAGATTAGTATTGATCTATGGGGTCCAATTTAGAATTAGTTCTATTGAAATGCAATATGAGTAGAATTTTTTTTTTTTCATGTTTGAAAAAAAGTTAAAAAAAAAACAAAAAAAAAACAAAAAAAACAAAAAAAAACATTGCCAAAATTCTTTGGTATCAAGAGTTGCAAGTAACTGAGTGACAATTTTTTTTAAATGTAAGTAAGATGGCTTAGTTTCATCCTTGCTTTCCTCTATTGCTTTGCTTCTTTTCATTTTCTTTGCTTATTTTCCTATTTTTTGTTATTGCAATAAAAAATTGCCTTAATGAATGCTGAGAAAAATGACTATTTCTCATTTGTGCTGCTTCTGCAAATGACCTTGTGGCCTTTAACCAATCCACCCTAACCCTAGCAGGTGCTAAAGAAACATAGTTGCTTGATAAAGCAATTTACACTTATCACTGTATCAACATTAAACCTGCTTCATGATTATGTTGGTTTGGAGAGACACTCAATGGGTAATCAAATTCACATGTGGTGTTAGGTTGTTGATTTGATCTAGACCACCTGCATGAAAATCACAATTAATTTGACAATGCTTGTAAGGCTATTTTAATGTGCAGTAATAATCACAAGACAATCACCATCATCATCATTTTTTATTCCTCTAGTCCACTGGGTATAACACAGACTGGAAGTTGATGTTTAGATGTTGGAACAGAAGTCACATGGAATGGGCCAATAATCACCATGCTCCTCCATGTTCAAAACATAGGACAAGTGTAGGGTTAAGGATGGTTGTGGTGATGGCGACAATGATAGTAATGGTGCAGTTAATAATGAAACCTGCCCTTATAATAAAAAAATGTGTGTGGTGGGTGATCTGGTAAGGAGTGCTACAGTGAAGAGCACCAGCAGCAGAAGAAGGAGGAAGTGGTGGTGGTGGTCCTGCAACAACCAGAGACTCCAATCTTCTTTCCCAGGTGTCAAGCCTGCATGTCCCTGGATCTTAGTGAGTAGGGAGCATGGCAGCTAATTTGGGTGGCAGCAGTGGTGGGGGTGGAATGTCCCTGCTGAAGTGCTACCCTCCTCCAAAGCAAGCAACCAAGCAACCAAGCATGGGGTAGATGTTGGGGGAGGGGGGGGGGGGGTGCATTCCATGCATGGCAGGTTTGACAGTAGCAGCAGCAACAGCAATTGGTGGCTGTGGTCCTGCAGCTCATAGAGACTCCAATATTCACAAGATGGCAGGCCTGCATGTGTTGGGCTCCCCTGCCTTTCTTTTTCAGTCTCCTTTTCATATTTGTTAATGCAGGGTTCCCTCCCTCCCTTCATTTCTTCCCTTCTAATGCAGAAGTACCTATTTGTAGCCCCTGCTTTTTCTCTACTGCTTAATTCCACTTAACCATTTCAGGGCCTGTGGATGGGTTGCTTCCTTGTATTCACTTGTAACATGCAGCCAGAGAAGACATGACAACACAAACCTATTCCTTGTGAAGATAATGCATACATGTACTCTAACCTTGAAACCCAATGCTAATAAGTACTTACATCTTTAAACTCTGTTATTATCATTGAGATGTAAGAGTTCAAAGAATGCATGAGAAGTAACTGAGGTCTGCTCACTCAACTTGTGTGTAATGCTTAAGTCTTCTCCTCCGGGCCAACAAGGAATGATGATATACGGGATAAAATAATGGAAACAAAATGCACATGTAGGATGAAAGGCGATGCAGAGTCTAATGGGGGAAGCAAGCAAGCGAGTAGGAGAGAAGTCAGAGAGAGAGCGAGAGCGAGGGCGAGAGAACGAGAGAATGAAAGCAAGAGGAGGGTGGGGGAGGAGCATGCACCAAAGCGCAATGCGGAGAGTTCGTGAGTTACCTTTTTTTGCTATTCGGTGCCTCATTTGTTTCCTCGTACATTCCAAGAGCGTTGCAGGGGTAGTCCCTTTCAAACTCACCACTCTCTCCATGTGCAGCCTCCTCCGCCAATGCTACCAGGAACGTCTACAACACTATATATACTGCTAGAAAAGGGAACGTTTAGAAAAAGAAATATAGACAAAGGAGAAAAATAAGATGCAGTCTTCTGCATGAGCGTGGTCCCAACAACATCAACATCCATATCAACAACAAATGCAGCGGCAGCATCATCATCAGCAGCACACTTCCTCATCTTTCCTTGCTTCAATGTGTAATAGTTTCTTCAGTACAAGTCACAGATATCAAATTAGGAAATCCTCCAAGGAGAAAATTAATAAATATAAAGAAAAAATTAAAAAACAAAATAAAACAAAAACACAGAATAGAGAAGGGTAGTGCAGTGGAGTGCAGTGGTGAGAAGAATTTGGAAGGTGGGGGGGACAGGGATAGCAGCGGTGGTGGCGTGAGGGCGTGGACGCCACACTGCGGCCACGCTGCCAATCGCTTGGCACGTTGCTTGCTCGCCAATTGTCCCCTTCGCAACCCCTCCTCTCTGCTCCGCCCTGCCCTGCCATGACCCTCGTCCATTCTTCCGCTACACTGCTGCGCCTCTCTCTCTTTCCGTCGGACTTGTGCTGGAGATAAAAGCCCCGGGTTGCTGTAACTGTATTTAATGGTCCGAGTTTCTCCCTCCCCTGCCAATCGCCGCACCATCTTCGCACTGTTTTTACCCTTTCCTGTCCCTAGTCCTCTCTCTTGTCTATCCCTCGCTCCCTCCGATTTCGCGATCCTTGCTCTCTGCCTCCGTTCCTCTTGTGCTAGCGCTGACATGGCTGCGGCTGCGGCCGAGACCGCTGAGACCGCTGAGGGTAATGAAGCTCTGCAGACGGTGGCCCCCAAGGCTCCCGTAACCTACGAACGCGTCGTCTCCACTCAGAACCTCCGTTTCCCCAAGCCTCGTTAGTCCCACCTCTTCTCCCTCTTCTTTTATCTTCTTCTTCTCACTTTGATGCTCGTCTTTCATGATAATTCGTCTTAAAGGGTACGGCATTAAACTAGCCACAGCGATTCGGTCTCATTTCAAAATCATTCATATTATGTGTTGCTTGATTATATCTTCTACATGTTTGAATATCCTCAATTAGGGTGTTGCTACTGCACCTACAACTTGTTTCCTCGAGAGTATGATGACCCTGTATTATTCTGTCCACAGTCTTGAATTGCTGCAAGGCTGGAGTAATGCAACTACTCCAACCATGAAAGAAGCCCCATAGTTAAATACTAATCGTGGTGACAACATTAATGTGCAGATGTGCCTCGGGCGTTGGAGGCCGTAGATGATGACCATCCTCACGGTACTCCCGGCTACAAGAACAACGGGTATTCTGTGCTACAGCAGCATATTGCCTTTTTTGATCGTAACAAGGATGGCATTATTTACCCGTGGGAGACTTTCGCAGGTATGTGTTTGCCCCTATTACCTCCTAGTCCTTACACTGTAACGATTTTCTTTGCGGTAGGTTATCATGGAGAGATTATCAGAAGTCTTGCAGAGCTTCATGGCACTAGATGGTGGAGGATCAACGTAGCGTATTTCTTGGTCCAATCACGGTTGCAGTTCAGTTGGCAGGAGAAACAGCGTTGAGGATTTGTCTTTCGTTCATTCAATACCGTAGCTGTAATCCAGTTCTGTGTGGATGCCGTGTTTCTCATTATAAAACATTTGCAGGGTTTCGAGCGATCGGATTCAATTTTCTTATCAGTTTCCTGGGTATGGTCATCATCAACGGTGTTTTTAGTTACGCTACCTTGGAGGTAAGTGAAGTTTGTCATGTCACCAATATATCCATCAGATGTGAAGATTGCTCAAGGAAAGTCCCATCTATAGTAGAACTGCAAATTCTGTTCGAAAGTACTTGGTCCGTGTTTGAGTTTTCAACTAGTCATTGAAGATTTGTTCTCACCGCATTGTTAAGCATGAATTGATGGACGTTGAGTTCTGCTTTGTGCAGTCTTGGATCCCGTCGCTCCTTTTCCCAATCTACATCAAAAATATTCACAAAGCCAAGCATGGGAGTGACTCTGAAGTGTATGACACAGAGGGCAGGTAAACATCAGTTAGTCAAACTTTGTGTGCCCATGACGGTCACAGCTGAAGAAGGATTGATTGTAGGGGGTGAAAGTCATGATTGAGTAGTAATCGGATCTTGAAACTGGATGTGCTTTTAGGTTCGTACCGGAGAAGTTTGAGGAACTGTTCAGTAAATTTTCCAAGACTGACAGATCTCGGCTACGTTATGATGAACTGTATTCACTAACAAGCGCGAACAAGAATGCGTATGATCCGTTTGGGTGGACGGCAGAGAAGCTGGAGTGGGGTATCACATACCTGCTTCTCAAAGACAAAGACGGGTTTGTCTCTAAGGAACAAATTCGTGGAATGTATGATGGAAGTATTTTCGAAACCATCGAAAGACAAAGGGAACTGAGTAAGATGCAGAAGAAGAAAATGTGAATACGTGCTGGAAAGTTGGTAAACGTGTTTGACTTGGATATAATTCCCTGCAAAGCCTTGAAGTAACAAGACACTGGCAATATTTTCCTAGATACATCCTGATGTACATTTACAATTTCGTATTATGGCAGGTTCTACAGTTTTATATTGTAACTGTTGGCCCTTTTATGGATGAGTGCTTTTGTGGCATGGCACTCTGTTGTATCTCACTAGCAGCAGCACATGCAGAGCAGAGGAAGCAGAGTGTGGGATATATTATGTGGGGATGAGACCCTCGGGGGGTGGGTGGGGATGTGGGGAGTGTCCAGCAAGCTCGCTAGTTCCATGCCTGTCCATCCAGTCATGGGATTGTCTCCATTTCTCAATCTCTCTCTCTTGCATGAACATTGGTGAACATGTTTTCAAAACTTTTTCCATTCTTTAATCATTGTGTCTCTTTTTCTCTACAAGAATGGATACACATGCATGAATGCCTGCATTATATATACACACATTTCTTTGTTCTCTTTTAACACTTTTGAAATCTTCAGTAACATAAACTACAAATAAAGTATGACATACTGCATGACAATTGCTCTTACCATTTAGTCATTGGTATATTGCCATAATGTTGTGTTGTAATTATTACCTGTGTGCATGACAGAAAAATAATATTTAAACTACAACTTAAATTGTTCATGTTAAACGTAATTCACAAAAGTAATTACTAATTTTTGACAAAATAAATAATTTTTTACTACACATTTTACTTAGTTACACATTTTAATAATAGTAAAATATTTTGCATCTACTTAATTCAATTAATTCTATCAATTTTTAGAAAAACGTCCATTAAAAATGAAAATTGCACACATTTTTTGTTATTTTATTCTTGTTCTTTTGTAAATCTATTAACAACTCACCAGTAATAAATATTTATTACATTCTGGTTTCATGATTTTGCAACTTATCTTAAACAATGGTTGGATATTATTTATACAGTATTTATATAATGTATTTATTATTTTCTTAAAACCATATTTTTTTGGGGCATATTTGCAACTCATTATGAGTACAATTTCTTAATGTAATCTTCTAATTCCAAAACATGGCTAAAATTTGGAGATTGTAACTTTGATAAATAAATTTAATAAAAAAATTGTGCAGTGTATATTTATTTTAAATAGTATATAAATAGCTTGATGCAATGAATTTTCTGCAAAACAAATTGATACTAATTTTTTAATGTTAATAATCTTGGTATTGAATATTATGTAAACATATGTTACTAAATAAAAAATATATATATATATATATATATAGTCTTGAAGAAATTTCAAATTTTGAATAAAATTAATGCTAAATTATAACTAAATAATTTTACTTACAATAAAGAATGATACAAATATCATAATATGAATTGTACAATGGCATTTCTACAATGAAGATGCTTAGAAATAAATCGAATTTTCCAGATACCTAAAGAGTTTTTTAAACACTAAAGTCGTTTTTGGTGAAATGAAAATTCAAAACTAGGATAAGTGATTCGACGATCTAGAGTATTTCAATAATCACATTACCCTTGGGCTGGATACATAGCCTCCTGCTCACCTCGGCCCGCACAACTTTGCTTCGGGGACTCTTCCTCCTCTGCCCCCTCCAGCTGCTTGATTCTTTACCACCCCCGCCTGCTTCTGTCTGCATGACATTGCTCACCCCTGTGCCTCCATTTTTGCTTCAGGGTCTTCATCTTCTTGGATTCTCCTACTCAAAATCATGCAGCAGATGGTGCCATGTGTTCTTTTCATCCTCCCGCGTCGCACATCGCTCTGTAGCTAAAATCCTTTGCTAGCTCACCGCCCGACTCGAAAATTACTGCATGGGACCTGCGCAATGGGAAGTCATGTGCAGGTTTCTCATCCTCCAACACCTCGGGAGAAAATTATTGATATTGAGAGGCGCCTTGTTCGACCGATGTTTAGTCAGCACAAGGTTCATCTACCGAGGCTGTACGAGATGTTGTAAGTTCAGCTATATCCTGTACTCATAGAGTTTTTGCACCAGATTCAACAAATTGAAGTATGTACTTTATATTTTTAGGAGCACAGTTACATGATGTATGTAACATCCCCCTCAAATTTAGGAGATGTGCCATGGATAGTACCTCATGAGTTTAAAGAGTATTAGCTTCTCGCGTGAACTCTGGTGGATAATTGAACCTTGCAGTATGGAAAGAATGACAAACAATTCGTATCAGCTCACCGCGTCACAGACTACTGAGAGAAGGAAGAGTTGCCGGAGGATAAGTTACCCCAGTAAACAACGGAGTCGGTCGCCCTCCTGTGAGGCGGAATTTATAGTCCATGACTACGGAGGCTTTCAAATTGCGTACAATGATAGCGCACATTTGCTATGGTCCACAGAGAGGAAGAAAAGAAAGAACTCGGCTGGCGTGCCGGCATCTGTAATGAATTGGCCTTCTCAAGAGCTAAAAGAGATGAGAACGTACTCTAAAGTGCCTGATTTACTATCAGGTAACATCCCTCTCCTTACTACCTACAAAATAGACTTTGTAACATGGATTGACATTTAGATTGACATTTGGTCACCAAGCTATTTCAGTTTGTCTCGTAATCTTATGCATGCGCGAGGCTGTAGAATAACTTCGATGCGCCGAATTTGCTCCGGAAGATCGTGCCTATCATGTTGAATCCATACAGAGGTTTATTGCATGGTCAACAGGTTAGAAGGGCGTCTGATAATTAGTCGAATTTGCTGCATCACAGAAAATATGGCAGCAAATGGAATACGAAGATCAGATAATATTACCAGCAGATTTTGTGAGAGAGAGATCTCACCAAATCCCTCCTATTATGTCCATACTAACAAACAGTTGGCTGAAAGCAACTCCGACACAAAATTCAGAGCTAAGCATATCGACTTCACTGAATTGAAAGCAACACCCCGTCCGAATACATCGTGGAGCAATCGTTTGGGATCAAATTTAACAACTCGTTCTCAACAAGTCAGCTGGCCAAAAACAGTTAAAGTGCACAACATGAAGTTTGATCAAGGCCCCTCCAATACTGTGGCGACAAATAATTTAAATAGAATGTTTCAAAAAAAAACGGAGATCTGGCTTCGTCACACTGCAAACTCTTCACGAAATAAGAGGATCAAGGTGCAAACAAACGACCAAGAGATCACTCAAAGTAGTTTCGATTTGATGTGAGTTTCAAACTTCTCAACCCATCATCGATCCAAATTTCCATGAAGAACTAAGCACCATAAGTAGTTCAGTCAGGATTACAAATTTGTGATTCACGTAGCTCTACAAAGGAAATCGCTGTTTTCAGCTCCCACGTTAGGTCGAAACATGATCACAAACAGTTTTGTCCCATTCGTGCATTTGCTAAATTTCTTGCATCTGAAATTTCTTAGGTCGATGACAGAGGTCACCAATATATGGAAGTAAGTGAGTCACAGTCAAATGGCGGCAATCATTCCACAAGGCAAGTACAGTAGTTCAGATTTTTTTTACTCTGCTTGCAGATTGCCAAGTCAAAGCTATTTTACGAATAATTCAGTTTGAAGCTCATCTCTTTTGACGACATTCGTGCATTTATTGCCACGACAACGACAGATTCTAGCCGGACATTAATTAGTAAAACTAGATGCGTTATCGAGTCTCACACAAGAAAGAGTTAATCACACAGGTAGGCTACAACATTTCACATGAATATTCACAAATAGTTTTTTGGGCCAGTAAACTCCCTAGAACTCAATGAAAAGGCTGGATTTAATGATGGAGCCACATTCTATATCTCGAGTATCATTGCCTCTTTCAATGCCAGTAAACAAGCCAGAGGTGAGGTGAGTATACATAACCCAGCGCGGTTTAAGACTTGAGCACTAAGGCCTTGTAACAAAGTTAAGTGTGTATGAGCTACGGGCCTACATGTAGAAGAGCACATCAGATACCTTCATCTTGTCTCATGTCCAACACGCGCACAGATGGACATTTATCCACCTTTTCCCAGCATGGCAACGTTTCGTCAACAGAGAGGAAGAGGACTCGAACGCTAAGAGCTACAGAAACCGACAACTGCTACACATCCGGATCATCATCAGTAAGCCATTTGATATATCGTTGGAGAGAATATTCCACCCTCGCTTTGCCGTCCTTCATAACTTCATAGTTCCAAAACCCTCCGTAGACGCGCTCAAATGCCCAGGGCTCCAGTCGTGCCGCGATGCGGTGGACGTGGCTGGCTGACAAGGGAATGTAATTGGGGTAGGAACGCATGACACTCACAGTTGTATGGTCTAGCGCATTCACCTGCACACAATGAATGCAGCAATACATGAAACCTGGTCTTCACGCTCCTTGGAGATCGATTCCCCTCGCCATGCTCTTAGTTCTCTATCGGTGCCATTAATCAAGATCATATCTGCAAACTAGTGTCAAGTGCAGAGCTTACTTGTATGATATCCCCTGATAACAAGGCGCCTTTGCCATCAACTGCCTCGGCCCAATGAAGGATTTGACCTCCTGCGAAGTGGCCTCCCAGATGTATCAAAGTCGCACCTTCCAGCACACGAAGCGTCTCCCCACTCCAGAACTTCACATTCTCGTGCTCCCACATCACCCATTTCTTATCCCTGTGGCATTTGTGGCATTTTAATTCTGCAATTTTTGAAAGGAAGCAATGAATTCCGGCAAATAATCCGCACAGCCACAAATTTTTAATTTTCCGTTCCTCCTATTCAATACCAAACACGCCCTCTCCCTCCCCCTCTCTCTCTCTCTCTCTCTCTCTCTCTCTCTCGCTAACAATAACACAAACAATCACATGGAAACTGTCATTAGAAGGATTGCCACAAAGATGCAAACAATCACGAAACATTCCACGAGTACTTACTTCTCATGAATATAAACGGGTACATTTCCAAAAACTGAGCTCCACTGTGCGTTATTTGCATAATAATGAGGATGTGAAATAGCAATGGCCTTAAGGCCTCCTAGTGCTTTCACGATGTCAATTGTCGCGTCATCCAGCAGCGATACACAATCCCATAAGATGTTACCATCTGGAATCAATAACAGAGAAATTGTCAGTCACGTGCACCTGGTATTGACTGCGGAGCTCAACTTTATCGCACGATGGCACTCAGAACTTGGGAGACCCTGGAACACTTGCGCCGCCACTTACAACACATCACTCTGAGGGTTAAGACATGAGGACTCGCAGAATTGCCCCCACAAACCGAAAACCCTAGACAATGAAAGTCTAATCGCCAAAACTGAAGACATCTGAAAACAAGCCTCGCTTTGCAAATGCAAGAGTGTAGAAAAGTTACGGGCTGTCTGGATAAGAAAAGCACGCTGCCCAATTCCTACTTTTGGCTCCGTATTGAAAGCATACAAGCCCGGTTCATACTTAGTCCACTTATTCATATACGGGCCATTCTTCAGCTGCGTGTGAGTCGTCCATTGTTGCCCATCCCTGCAAAGTATCATAAAATTCACGCTCAGCAGCGTGAGATCACCATCTGCGAACCATCTTGCTTTTAAAAGAAATTGTGGCACTAGATCACCAAAAAATGATTTCAATACGACTCAGAACAGTTGGGGCTAGTGGAGCATCCACCGGCTGCAAAATTCGAGTTTGAGGGATCATACTTGGGAACAGCTTGGCGTTCGTCGGAGCAGATGGGACACACCGAAGGTAGATTCTGATGCGGCGAGAACTGCACACCACAGGCTTTGCAGATGTGCGCCTCCTCTGCTCGATCCATGGCAGGGGGGATGGCGACGATCTCCTTAGAATCCACATTGAAGTCTCAGGGATGCAGATGCGGATGCGGGTGCAGCACCCGGTGAGCACAGTGCTGAGCCCCACTGCGGCTGCGTGGAACCTCGATCCAAGTCCATGCAACGAACGACAAATGTCTCGTGCATATTGCCGCAAACATCCATGCCGCGCCCACGCATCCGGATAAGCCTCGTAAAGCGCGTCTCTTAAATTTTGGCAAGAAGGAACTCTTGAGCTGCTTCATAGTTGCTTCTCTTGCCATTGGGTCGTCTTGCGCTGCGCACATCTCGCATTCTTCGTCTCGAGTTCTTCTCCTTCTTGTTGATTTCTATTCCGTGCTTTGTTAATGAAAGTGAGTCGAGCATAATTCGGATGGTATGTTTGTACCTCATTCCATGTGAAATGTGATTTCTAACTTTTGTTTAAAAAAATTTCTGGTGAGAAGATTAGTTGTCATGATTAGAAATCACATTAGAGAAACAAATAAACATGCAACAGCAAGTGAGGTGAAGAAATATTCAATCAATTATTATTTTTGATCACTATACCTTTCTACAAAATCTAAACAGAAATAAATAGGTTAAATGTAAACTTCCACCAGACTACAGGACTCATTAAGATAATCTTAGAAATTCCAAAAGAGAAAAGAAGATTTCTTAAATTAATGAGAATTAGTATTTGTTAATGCTTTTTAAATTCAAACATCAATTATATATAGTTATTATATTTACACAAAAAAATAGTTGTTGTAAAAATAAATAATATAAATATCAATAATATTTGTTGTAAAAATCAATATAAATATTTTTTATTTTTTACAGCTATTGTCTGTTTGTTTCTTACCCAATTAATGATGTCTCTTGACGTCCATGTTGTTTGTCACCTAATTGAATAACACTGTTTGCAATGTAAACTTTCTTCTTCTTCTTCTTCTTCTCTTGATTTTCTCTTTTAATACTAATTTTAATATTTCAATTTAGTAAAGACTGTGACTATGGCCATACCTGCTAATACTGCTACAACATCTATTTTTATTTTGGTCACATATTTTTTGTCCTATTAGACAAAAAAAAAAAAAAAACAAAACAAAACAAAACAAATCAAAACAAAACAGACTTTCTAACGACACAGCATTAACATTGTTGCAATTATGGTTCCATCTCATTGCTTCATTCTTTTTGTTGTTGCCCACATTCTTGTTAATGCCATTAGCATCCACCAAAGTATTGCTAGCACATACTCTCCCTTCATCCCATTTCAACCACCTCCAACAATCCTTATGGAAGTAACATATGCTTCAAGAAAAGAAATAATGAGAACTTTCAATAAGTTAGTTGCAAATAAAAGCTATGAAATTGTAACAAAGACATCTAAACAACAACAACCTTCTAATCTTTAGAAGCTTTACTACAAATGCATTCAAGATAAGAAGAACCATATCCACCACAGATTGATATAAGAGACTAAGAAACACAAGACTTCTAATGTTTTTGAAAATTTCCTCTTTAAATGGTTCAAACATAATATACAAATAATTATTAGCTTTTTGAGATTCCAAAGCTTTAACAAAACAAAGATGCTTCTTCTAATTATTGTAGATATTTAGGTTTTTTTCATTTTACTAAAGCTTAGAAGATAACTATTCAAGAGATACTTAACAAAGATGTAAAAGTAAAAAATATTAAAATATAATTATAAAACTTAGAAGATGGAACTTTCATCTCAAAGAAGAATCTCTCTAAGAATATTAATGCAAAAAATTGCAAGAATAGCATAGAGTCGGACCAATACAACTACACAACCTATATATTTTTTGTTGATCTTAAATCAATTAAACTCATATTCATTTATCATAATATATATATTTTTTGGAGCCTACTTATAAAATCAATAAATTAGAACATGCCTTTTTTTTATATTTTTGGTATCACTAGGCTATATACCACTTTTTCTATCATTTTTTTAATGAAAAATTAAAGTAAAACATTGCTATTAATTATATTTGGCATCTACTTTATAAAGACCAAGTTTCTAATGTCTTTGATGTGGATTGTGAATTTGCCTTCATAGTAGTAGCTTTGAGGTAGTATTTTTCCATCACAAACAACTTTCTTTGCATATAGCACACAAAAAATATTTGTAAGGAATTATGAGCCAAAGTTTCTTAGAAGATCTAAAAAAGACTATCAAACTTTATAAAAGCCTAAAGAGTGTTAATTTCTTTGTTCCTAATTTTTAATTTTATAATGTTTTATAATATATCTTATTAATTGAAATTTCAAATTTTACAATAACTTTACCAATTATTATTAATATATATAATTTTTAATTTTATAATGTTAATAATTTTATAAAAGATCAAAACATATCTTATTAATTGAACTTTCAAAATTTACAATAACTTTACCAATTTTTTCACTTATCAACAGCAAATCATAGTATAAAAATTACATAAATTATTTCAATCAAATCGAACAATTCAAAGAATTTGATTTTTAATTCAATTGTTACAATCAAATTAGACACTGCAAATACTCTAAGATACAAAGAGTTTATAGCTATAGCAATAATTATAAGAGATACAACAAATTATGTAATTGATCTTTTTTTATTTGCTATTCCCAATTTAACTAATTAGTCTTCTTAGATTTTAATATTTTTGTATTTTGGCACCAATATGACAAGTTGTTGCCAATGTTGGAAGTGAATATGGCAATGCCAATAGAATTAGCTTTTCTACCTACAAATAAAGACTTATAACTTATATTTAGATAAGCAAATGGAAAAAAAAAAATGGTATAAACAAATCTATTGCTAATAGAAATACAAGCTCAATTTTAAAAGAGACATTTAAATGAAAAAAGATAAAAAGAATCAACTAATATTTTCATATTGATAGAAGTTTGAAATGTGCAGATATAAAAGTTTTGTAAGATTTAAAATGGATAGATATTAAATATTTAAAAAAAAGTGGAGACTACAAAAAAACATATATTAGTAGGTAATATATTAGCCACTCATTGCACAAGTTATTCTTGCTAAAATTTAGAACAAGTTGATGATAAACAAAAAACAATATTGTCAAAAAAGTGTTGCCACAAAAATAATAAATGTGGCCTCAATTACTACCTTCAATAAAAATATGTTTAATTTCTTTACTTAATGATGTTAGTTGTGTTATATTATTCTTTGATGTTATAAAACATATTTGGATGACCTTTTTTTTTGTATGGTTTATTGAAAATCAAGGAAATAAAGAAAAGCATATTTTTTAAAAAAATTAATAACTACATATTGATTTTTTATACAATTTTTTTGGAAATATATTTTTTTATAAATCAAATAGTGGTTAAAATCAATGGCTTTGCCAAGATTGAGTGTATTTTTGGCAACCATTTTTTTTTTTTTTTTTTTTTTCAAAAAAAAAAAAAAAAAAAAACACACACACACACACACACACACATACAATATACCTCAACATTCCATCAGTGCTCCTTTCTGCAATTAAAAAAAAAAAATAAAAACAAAAGAAAGTAGCACCACATCAATTATATTAATTAAATGCAAGTGAGGTTCATTTGTGCTGCTGTTGTTGCCAACGCCGTTGCCAACTTGGCCCATTCCATCCTCTAATTGTAATAATTGGATAACTTGGCAGTAACTATACTAAACCATTATCTAAATTTAGCCACTCTATTGGTCCAACCAATGAGCTTTTTTGACACTCCAGCCAAACCTAGGCTGGTCAATTTTTTTTATATAAATAGATAATATAAAATAACTCCATCAAAAATTTGGCTCATACAATGATTTGATTTTCAAAAGATAATTATATATTAATTATAAAAAACTATAGATATTAAAATAAATATATAGTTTTATTTTTATTTTCAAGTTATGATGTATTTATATGAATTTATTATTACAATTTAAAATTTGAATTCAAGTTTTTAGACATGTTTCTTATTATTATTTTTAATCAATGTTTTAGAGAATCTACATGATATATATGGATATTTATATTTAAAGAAATATATATTCATTCTCACATATGTATATATATATATAATACTTTTTATAAATAAATTGTTGTGTTTCATGTACGTTGAAATTTTGATGTTAACTTAACTCCTGATTTATTCATTATTATAGCTTTCTGCCAATTAGTTGGATTTTTTTTTATTTGTTTCTAAAAACGTTTAATAAATATTATGAAAGTAAATAATTTTTGATCATACCCTAGAAAATCAAAAGAACATAAACACAATAAAAATATGTTAGTTCAAAAATTATGTTAGTTCAAAAATGAATTATACTTTACAAAAACTATATTTTTTTGGTAGACTGTAACATGTTGGTTTTAGAATGGAGTCTTGTCAAACATGTTAAAAAAGCAAACATCAAATTTGAGCTTTCATTATGAATTGGAAAGTATCAATATTAAAAAAATAAAAATAAAAATGCATGATTGATTTGAAGTAAGAATTCCAATACTTCAGGTGGTGACATACTTACAATCATTTTCAGATAGAATTTGAATTAATTCATAGTTCCATCTCATAATTCAACATCAATATGACACAATCATCACAAGGGTTTATTCAGAAAGTGAGCAATAAATCAATTTCTTAAATAAATAAATAAAAAAATAAACATGTATTTGTATGTGTATATCTCTATGTGAGTGTGAGAGTGTGTTTTTGGATCCTGAGCTACGACGCAAAAGGATGGCGAAGTTGGGGGAGGAAGAGCTAAAGAGTGGAGGCACAGAAGACGAGAAGAAGCTGCGAAGAATAAGGAGAAGAAAAAGAAAAAGAAGGGGGAGGAGAAGGTGGGGCACTCCCAACGCCCTTCCCCAGACGGATGGATGGATAGAGAGAGAGATGTGAATGGATGGATGGATGGATAGAGAGAGATGCGGATGGATGGATAGAGAGATGTAGATGGATGGATAGAGAGAGATGCGGATGGATGGATAGAGAGATGTAGATGGATGGATAGAGAGAGATGCGGATGGATGGATAGAGAGGTGGATGGATGCTTCCCCGACAAAAGGAGGGGGAGAGGGGGGGGGGGGGGGGAGAAGCACCACTCGCATTCCTCGGCCACAGCGCTGCTGAGGAGGAAGAAGAGGAGCAAGCACACGAGCATGAAGACCAGGTAAGTTAGTAGACCAGGAAGAGGAGGAAGAAGTAGAAAAAGTTGCATGCAGAAGTAGTAGCACTAGCAGTAGTTGAGGAGGAGGAGCACTGCCAGGGTGGGGCCCATGCGGGAGTGCTTCGGCCGCATGAAGCAGCGGCGCAGGTTACTCGTGAAGTTGGAATTCGTAAAGGCTCCAATATCGGTCCATGCAGCTGCTGTTTCGTCATGACTCTAGCGAAGGATTGTTTAGAAAAGTGTCACAGTCAACTCCCAAGCGCGTCCGTGTTTTTGCTCCACCTTCACCACCACTACTTTTCCATGAATTTTAATTTGTCTGTAGAATGGATGACTCCTACGTTGCTGTGGCTGTCTCTCGCGACTAGTGACTATGACTTCCTCTTCCATCTGGTTGCACTGGCCCTCACACTTCTTGGTTCTCTTCCTTGTACGCAGCTGATTCTGTACCAGGATAGTTGCCAATTCCCACCGTAGCCCAGCACTCAGTCCATCTCTCATCGTCTAGGCTCAGCCAGCGATGCTGCTGGTGTGTGGTGGACAACATCATCTCCTTGTTTCATAAATTTATCTCTACTTGTCTTGCACTAAAACTCTTGTTTTTACGGATCGGATCCGCGTTTCGTCTGTGTCAATGTGATGTGATGTGATTTGAAGGAATTCAAGCATTGGGGACAAGAGGCAGATCAAGCAACCTTTCAATTGGAACGTAGATATTTTCAACTCGTGCTAGTAACCAGCGTGATGCCTCTAATTTTGTTTTCAGTTTTGTCAGTACCACTGTTTCCAGTGCTCATGAGCGGTGTCTAAAGGTTGCTTGATCTGTGCCGAAGTGAGCCTGATAAATCTTGTAGTGGCGGTCAGAGGGGTGTCTATTTTGGTTGTGCAGGGGAGAGGGTACTATTGTCGAGGAGAGGAATCTCAGTGAAGCAAAGCGGCAATCGGAGCTTGGGGGAAAGAGCGGGGCCAATGATCTGCTTGGCAAATCCTTTCATTTGGATGCTCATATTTATCCAATAGGAAGTCTCAGAAAAATCAAATGGTTGCTGGACGTGGTACATGTGCTGTATTTCAGACAGCCGTTGCTCCGATCGCCGACCTGCATATTTCAGCATTGATTCGCAAAAGAGACGGAGTTTTCCAATCCACCCAATTTTCGTGTGCAGTAAGAAACTTCGCGTTGTGACAGTGTTAGCGAAGACGATTATGAAGATGTGGCCCTTCGCACAGAAGAATATAAGAGTTTGACGGTCCAGCAGACACAAGCGGAGCAGTTTGAAGATTCAAGATCAAGAGACCCGTGGGAGGGTCATAGGAGATCAAATTTGGAAGGGAACATTTAAGATTCTTTGAAAATATTGCATCCAGAGAATTAGGGCCGGTTGATTTGATATTCTCATGAGATTGAAAGCATATTTTGAGGCACTCAATTCCAGGCGATCTTAGAACGAGACTAGCAATGGGGATAACATGGAAATCTTCATTTACTTACAACAATAGAAAACTTGTTCAGTTACCATGTCGGTTCAGTGAATTTTACATTCTTGTACTTTGCTGCGTGCTGAGTGTGCTGAGTGGCGCTCAAGCACAGTTGCTTGGTCCACCATCAGGGTTCTCTTTCCCGCCACCAGGTGCTGCTCTGCCTCCTCCAGGTGCTGCCTTGCCTCCACCAGGTGCTGCTTTGCCTCCAGGTGTTGCTTTGCCTCCTCTTGCGGCGCCTCCACTTCTTGATAACCAGGTGCTGAATGAAATTGACAATTTGGACAAAGAAATTCGGGCCCTGACTCGGAATGCTGCGTTGGAGCTTGAGAAAAATTTCAGCTATTGCATCACCAATGGGTGAGAAGAAATTTTCTGGATCTTGGTGTGCACATACATGGCAGCAGCAGAGACGGGGTCACACATTCCTGAGAGCCTGAATGTGCCGGATGCATGACAGAATTCAATAGTGATGAGGGATACTGTTTGATGTGAGTAGGTTGCTCTTGTGTGCAGAGAGCAGGAGTGGAACGCGGTGTACGGTTTCAATATAAAAGTTCAAAGGTTCGTGCAACAGTGTGTCATGGACATGGGAGCAGGTACCCCTTGGAACAGGATACTATATTATTTTTCCTCCTCAGAGTTACACTGGTCTGTAAATTATAGAATTCACTGATAAATTGAGAAAGGTGATAATAGATGCGGTGGGCTTTCTCAGATGGCACAGCTTCGCAGCGTCTGTGCAACAAGGGAGAACTCGAGCTTTACTTCAAAAACATATGGGATCTGGACTCCCCTAAACCCAATGTGAATTGTAACTCCTCATCATGGGGTATTGAGTGCGATTCGGGATGGTCAGCTGCGAAACAAATCGACTCCAATCTACACCCCAGCAGCAATGTGGTGCCATCTCGTCATCTGTTTCCCAAGGCTTGTTGTCAGGGATTTTTCTGCCCAAAGGGCCTCACTTGCATGTTCCGTAAGTGCTGCTGTCGGTTTCATGGCATAAGCTAGTCGATCGTGAGTTGTATCCTCCCGGTTTCAGTAAATAGACTGCTCTGATTGCACTCTAATTTTAACAGTTCCGTCGATCACATGATTCTGACCTTAAATATACTGGTTTGTATGTGGGCATTGTGTTGCAGCATGCCCGTTGGGTGCTTTCTGTCCTCGAGCAGTACTAAACGAAACAACTGGGTTGTGTGAACCGTGAGAAATACCACCTAAGATCCCTCCCTTATATTACTGCCTAAAATTCACTCAGTAGATGCTTATGTATATATATAACTTTTTATTTGTTTGAAAGCATTTCCCCACCTTGGAAGAATTGAGGTGTGTGGATGGTATGAATGCAGATATGGGTACCAAGTGACGCAACGTGAAGGGAATCGCCAGTGCGGGGGAGCAGAGAAGTGGTCCATTGTGCAGGCTACTCAAGAGATTTTCTGCCCCGCTGGCGTGTTCTGTCCCTCGACTGTCGATGCTCACATATGCACCAAAGGGTGAGTTGGCATCACGCTTATACTCCAATCCGATCATATTTAAAATCAATCCCTGGGAATGAAATGTGGTTACAATATTGCGAGATGGCTGATTTGGTACCTTCCAGTTGACAAAATATGCAAGGGAACATTTGTGAGGGATCTAGGAGCAAGTCCTGCCAGTTAATTGAATACTATTGCAGTGAGAGTCACTCTTGATGAGCAAATTATGACTGGGAACGTTGCGCTGGTGTGGTTGTGTGTTGGCAGACACTATTGCCCTCTTGGCTCCACGCGGGAGTATGGTAAGTACCATAACCATTTGAGGCTAAAAAATGCAAACCATTTCTTCCATCTTAACTAATCAATCGATTTTCTTGGTGAAGACAATTCTCTATGCATGCACCGGGTTAATAGGTCTGGATTGGTGGTGATAACCAGCCTGCTCAAAGCTTACGACATGCCGAAGCGAGCGACTCGAGAAGCAGAATCTCACCAGTGTTGGGATTCTCTTCGTTGTAAGGCTGAACTCAAATTCTTTCAGATCTAATCAAGCTTTACACCATGTTAAAGTCAGCATTGGCCAATCCTGTCTGCTAGTGAAGAAGTATGTACAATAATTATTCCTGCCACCACAACGTCTTAAGTTCTAATGTATGGAATGACGATGCGAATTGGCAGGCGATCTTGGCAGCCACCTTGTTACTGATCTTTGCGTGTTCGGACTGGATCATGGACATTCGTATGAAGAGCAAATCTAGGGCCCGAGATTTGGCGCAAAGGCAAGCAGCGACTGTGAGTGCTTCAGAATTAGAGGGGCTTGTACCCATGAAAGAGTCTGTCGAATGTGAGGCTGCTATTCTCACCCGCAAGCTCAGCAATACCGAGTTCCGGGAACGGCCAGGTTCGAACGGATCGGAGGAATTTCAGGTGATTGAGTTTGGCTTGAGCATTTTTGGTGAAACACCGGGTCAGCTATTGCGTCATGGATCGATGTCAATGAGGATTGCCGAAGATGGCAGCTCCGTCGGCACATCCATCCCCCTTTGCCTCGTCCCAGTCACCCTAAGACCTCGGGATAGGATTGATGTCGAGAGCTTCGTTGAAGATGATGCGATGCGCTCCTTCACCGAGCTCCAGGAGTCCCAAACTAAGATCGAGAAGGAGATAGCAGCAGCATTGGAGAGCATGGATCACAAAGTCATGAATAGGGACGAGGATTCCGAGACGCGACACAACATGCGGCCTCCCATTGAGGTGAGCTTTGAGGATCTCTCGTTGTTCCTCAAAGGCTCAGGCAAGAAGATTCTCAGCAATGTGACAGGGAAATTGTCCCCTGGGCGAGTGACTGCGGTGATGGGTCCCTCGGGGGCCGGGAAAACTACCTTCCTGAATGCGCTGGCAGGCAAGGCAACGCACAGCCGCACTACTGGAGTAGTGCTCATCAACGGCAAACCTGACTCTATTCAATCCTACAAAAGCATCATTGGGTTTGTGCCGCAGGATGACATCGTCCATGGCAACCTTACTGTTGAGGAAAATCTTTTGTTCAGTGCCAATTACCGGTTCGTACCGACCATAGGCTCCACATTCATGTGTCCTTTGTCACCTCCACTTCTGGTCCTGCATTGTGAATCTCTTTGTATACCAAGTATAATGATGAAAATGTGTAACGATGATTGAGGTAAGAATAGATCAATCATGTTAAGTTTTCTTTCACTGGATTGCGTCATTGCAGGCTACCGGTTGGCATGAGCAAGCGGGACAAAGTGTTGGTAGTGGAGCGAATCATCTCCGCACTGGGCCTAGGATCGATCCGGGATTCCAGAGTTGGCACGGTAGAGAATCGTGGGATATCTGGCGGGCAGCGAAAGCGGGTGAATGTGGGGTTGGAGATGGTGATGGAACCGTCACTGCTGATTCTGGATGAGCCCACCTCTGGTCTGGATAGTACGTCATCGCGGCTGGTGTTGCAAGCCTTGCGCCGCGAGGCCAACATGGGTGTGAACGTTGGGGTGGTACTCCATCAACCGAGTTACGGGCTGTTCAGAATGTTTGATGATGTGATGTTCCTGGCCAAGGGCGGCCGCACGGTCTACCTGGGGCCCGTGAGCGAATTGGAAGCGTACTTTGAAAGCTTAGATTTGGTGGTGCCGGAGCGAATTAACCCGCCGGATCACTACATTGATGCGCTGGAGGGCATCGTGAATCCCAAAAATCAGCCAGGCTTTGACCCCCAAATCTTGCCCCTGATGTGGATGGTCAACAAGGGTTACAAAATTCCACCTGACCTGGCTGCCCTAGCATCAGACCTCCAATCTGGTACGATGCGCGGCAAAAAGTTCATGCCAGTGAGAGAGCCCAAACGCACCTGCATCCAGGATTTCTGGACAGAGCTGCAGGTGTACGTATGCGAGCGGAAAGACTTGCTTCTCAGTTCTTTTTATAAGGTTGAGAATAAATCTGGTCGTACCACTCCTGGCTTCTTCAGCCAATTCCTTACCATTCTGCGCCGGTATGATCATGCAATCACCTCCTGTTGAAGAGGCGATACCTAATTGTGTTGACACATTCTTGATGCATTGGAGCTTATGAAAGTTTTCCACATAGTTTGTTGTAACTAGTGCTGTGCGCTGCTTTGAGTTTCCAGGTTGTCGACTCAACGGTTTCGAGAAGCCCGAGTGCAATTCCTAGACTACACCATTCTGCTGATGGCCGGGACATGTCTTGGTTATCTCTCGGACATGAAGGACACCTCCCTCGGGTCGAAAGGCTATTTTTACACTCTCATTGCTCTCTGTAAGCGGGGTTCTCTTCAGTACTGCACAATTCAAAACCAGCACGAAAGCAACAACAATTATAGATTCCTTTCTAGCGTGTGAATGGTTTAGTCATTAGATGCGGCAAGAGGCTTTGAAGTCTCCAATCTGTTAATTGGAATTGTTTGGCGCTGCTGCAGCACTGTTGGTGATGATTGCGTCGCTTCGAACATTTTCAAACGACAAGCTTACATTCTGGCGAGAGAGTGCATCGGGAATCAATCGAGTGGCTTATTTCGTAGCCAAGGATGTGGTTGACCTATTCAATGTGACTATCAAGCCATTCATATACCTCTCGATGTTTTATTTCTTCAGCAACCCTCGATCAAGTTTTCTCAGTAATTTTACTGTGACTTTGGTTCTGGTATACTGCGTCACGGGCATTGCGTACATCTCTTCTATACTTTTCCAACCTGCTCCGGCACAACTGGTTTGTTCTCTAAATCCGTTTCTCTTAAGCCTGCTGATGCTGTTGATGCCGGGGAATGTGCAGCTTGAAATGAATTCGATGCTTTCTCCATTCATAAATAAACACGTTTTTCTCTTGATTTTTTGCAGTGGTCGGTGTTTTTACCCATTATGGCGACGCTGATAATTACCGTGAAACCTCATGGGTTCTTGCTTAAGCTGCAGTACCTGAGCTACGCCCGATATGCCAACGAGGCCTATGTTGTTGCCAATGCTGTAAAGTAAGCCACAATATCAAAAGGTTTGCGTAGAGCGGCTTTGCTAATTGCTCTAGTGATTCCACAATCAATATTTGTGCACGCATTGCTTATCCTCTCTCATTCAGGACCATGATCAGGTAGATGATGAGAATGCTGAATAGCGAGGGTATGAGAGGTTTGGGGGGATGATGTGGTGTGACTTTGGTGTTGCAGTTACGGAGGAGTGTGGATCACAACCCGCTGTGCAATGCTGAAGACCTTGAACTACTCAGTCGAGCGCTGGATGCCGTGCCTCGTAATCCTGGTAATGTATGGGGTTGTAGCACGCGGCATCGCCCTCATTTGCTTGTTCACAAGCAACCGTGGCAGACAGAAGTAAACAGCGAGCATTTCGTTAGACCCCATAATCTCGACTAGGGAGTGGCACAGCACACTCACCGGGACTGCTCAAGAGGTAGCGATGGAGTGCGCGTGCTCCAGCTCCACGAAGTGAAACACGCGGAATCGTGAGTTGTGCCATGCAGTGACCAGTTCCACATCGTGGATGCGCAAGAGTGTGTGCTTTTGTGTGAGTGTGTGGAGGTGCCCCTCTGCCAACTCTTGGCAGTGCCTAGAGACTCGTCATCAGGTTGCCTAACCTTCATGAAACGTGTCCACCATCCTCTGCACCACATGGATGAGCACACTCTCGTTGCTTTCTTTGGCGATGAATAAATGGTGACCCCCCCCCCCCCCCAAAGGGATGAACAGATGACAGGTATAATTATTGACCAGGAACAGCTGAAAGGGCCTTCATAGCAGTGCCCAACAGAGTCGTGACCTTAACTTACGCAACGAGGAATGAAAACCAATTCGATTTCCCAGTGGAAGGAGGATCCTTTGTAAACTCAGACTTGAATACAAAAAGAAAAGCGTCATCAAACTCACTTGTGAGGCAATTCATGAAATTCTTGCACTTAAATTCCATCAGTAAGAAAATATATCAGCAGAATGCTGAAGTTTCATTATTGCACATACTAACAATAATCATTTTGATATTCAATCAATTTTGTATCACATAGTTCCTGAAAAAAAATGGCAAATTATCGCGTACAGCGCAACAATAGACTGTCAAAACTGGTTGTCCGTCATAGCTTCAGGTAGACATCTCTGCTGGTGGGCTACAATTCATCGTAGTGTAGTGCAAAACCAGCTCTCCGCTTCAACAACTTCCCTTTCATTCTATACTCCGGAGGTCTTTCAGAGTGCAAGGTCTTAGTACCTGAGCTGTTTCACGTGGTGTCTGTTGCAAGCATTGCCAAATCAATGGGTTTCAAAGCTCGTGAAGCTGTAGGTCCCTTAGCACTTTCTTCGCTGTTGGATTGTTGGGTGGCTGCACCATTGGTTAGCACTCCAGCTACGGCCTCCAGCACTTTGATGCGTAACACTTCAGAACGGATGAAATCTCCTCCTCAGCTGAAAGCGTCTTATCCTCCTCCGCAACAGAAGTCTCCGAATCCTCCTGAAAAGAAATCTCCACCTCCTCACAAGCACCACCATACAGAGTCCCTACCACCTCCCAAATGCTAGGTGTCTTAAAAAGTTCGACTCTTGGAAAAGAGATCTTGTTCACATTCATGCCAGGATTAGCCGATTGCACGGTACGAAGCTGTTCACTTCGGTAACAGCATTTTGTTTGAATGGAGCTTTGGATGAAATCCAATTCCTTCTCATTGGGGTTCATTGCTCCTACTGGTTGAAAATTAACGTCAAAACGCATCGACAATTTTCTTAACGGTGGATGGTCAGATTAACTATATTTAATCGTGAGTCAGGTTCAGCTGCGCAGCATGGTGGCGTAGTTCGCTGGCTGAAACGAAGGATTGCAGGCGCATGGGAGGAAGACAAAGAGTCATTCGGTGGAGAATCTCGTTCTCAATGGGAAATCCGGCTCGGTGGAAATAAACCAACATTGTCGAGTTACGGCAGCAGATGTCTGATTCAGGGAATTATGAGAGGCCTTGGACTTTGTGTAGCTAGCAAGTCGAGCATTACCTATATGTAGACACCTAAGACACTTTACTAAGCGAGGACAGAAACTTTTTTGAGGGATGCTTGAGACGCTTGACATTTGGGAGTTACCATGCATTCCTCGATATGGGGGTGTGGTTGACGAACCATGACTGACTTGTATACTGTCAATAAACAAGACGTTTCCGTGCTCCTCCCCTGCTCATATCCAGCGCTATAGCCTTCAAAGAATACTGTGCAGCAATGGCAGAAATGGGTGCTGTTGGTGACAAAACACCACGCGCGCTCTCTCTCTCTCTCTCTCTCTCTCTCTCATGAAGGCCAATACTTGAAGACGTATCCGTGATAGGAAGTCATGCAATAACAGCTCCGCTTGTTGGAAACACTGTCCGTCGCCGGGCTCCACAATCACTCAAACCTCTTCCAATTGGGATGGAATCGAGCGCGTCACCGCAAATTCTGAGCAACCCCAGCATTCTGATTCGCAAGATCAGATGGATGATATTTATTCTTATTTCGATAGACGTAGACCATCCATCTATATTTGTGCATTTGGTGTCGAAATGAAGGTGTAAAATTACAAGGGTCTATTCAAAAGCATTTTCCACTCAAGTTTAGTTGAAACAAAGATTCAATAGTAATAGTAGAAAAAACAATGGAAAACAAACCCTTGTTTACATTTTGGAAACGCTAGGGTGCATTTTAATATGGATTAGAGATTTTTATTTTGATTTAAAAAAATTTAAATCTATATATATATATATACAAACCAAAAGAGAATTTTTTTTCTCATTGTTTTTGGGGTGGAATTCAATCACATAGTAGCCATTGGAACTATAGGGTCGATGGAACTATAGGGTCAAAACATTATTCCAGAGTGGAATTTGAAAGCCATAGATTGAAAAGCTCCTTTAGTTGGATGACATTATAAATAAATAAAATTGAACACAACTATTATTTTTTTGTCTTTTTTGATTGTTTGTTTTGCCCGAAATGCTTTGTGCAGTACCAACAAGTGGAGGGAGTAGATCAAATCCAAAGCTTTGGCCTACAAATAGAACCGTGCAGCAGTCTAGCCATTCTGTCTATTTCCATAGATGTCTTTGTGCCCCTCGTTGATGTAATATATTATTATTATTATTATTTATATATATATATATATATATATATATATATATATTTCATAAAATTTGATAAAATTTTCATCTTTATTTATTTTTTTATTTTTATTTTTTTTTGCTAATTGAATTTTTCTTAACTTATTTACAACTCCAATTTTATAAATATTTTTTTTGAATTAAGAACAAAAAGAATGCAAGATATAATCTAGGTTTCTAAAATATATTATTATGTATGATTTTTTTTAAATACTTAAATAACCTAAAGTTCAAAATATCTTGGACAAATGCAATCACATCTATGTTACTCATACATAGCTTTATAACATAGTATAATTGATTTGAGGACTTGTTAAAGCCATACTCCAAGTTTGTTAAAACCACACCTCCCTTCCCACTAAACGATTGATTTTGTACAAGTCCCATGTCCTCAATTCCATTCCCATCCCACATCCCCTTATTTCCATCCATTGACCCCACCCCAACCTCATTTCCTTGTCTTGGCCCCGCTACCCCATCCCCACTCTTCTATCCCAGCCTCCAAATGAGAATTTTATATATAAACATTTAAAGACATTGGAGCTTGAAATTGTTTCATTCATTAGACTTTTTCAATCAAATAAATCATTTACCTATAAATAAAATATTTTATAAATTCTTATACAAAGAAGTATTTAAAAAAAAGAAAAAAAAAGAAATTGGAAGTAATTTAAAAAATCAATCATTATAATTTATTTTAATGACATCCATTTTTATTTTTATTTTATGAAAAAAATTTCTTCTATAATCTAAACCATATAATCTAATAATAAATCAATCATAAAAAATTAAAAAAAAAATATGAGTTGAAAATGAAAAAAGAAAAGAAAATCAAAAAAATATATCTTGGATACTTAAGAGACCATTAAGTATTTTAGAAAATGATATTTCATTTGATATGATGTATTCAAAATATAAAATAGAATAAAATAATTATATTTTTTCCATAAGTTTAATACATATATTAAAAGCTCAAACTTTGTAAATATAATATATCAACAAATAATTAAATTTAGTTTTTTTTTATTTTTAGTTATTTTTAGTTATTTTTTTTAATATATTTTTTATATATATTTTTAATACAATTTCATACTTAAGATATTTTATTATTTCTAACTAGTTGGATTTTATGATTTCAATACTTAAATAGTATTTTAAAGATGTAAGAGTTATTATATAAACCAAATATATAAAAAAATATATTTCTTAAAGACTATATCAAACAATATAAGTGTAGAATAGATATTAGTTCGTTTTTGTAAGATATTGGTAAAATAAACTAATAGTCCATAGAATAGTCAGTTTAGGAGGACAGATGGTTGATTTAGTTATTAAAAGCGGTTAATTACAAGATTACGGTTAGGATCTGGAAATCAGTAGCAATTATATAGGAGTTGTAGAAGTTTGTTGGAGGGCCAGACTGTGATAGTCATGAGTTGGGATTAAGCTTGGTGCTTCCTCTTTGTTTTTTTTGTTTTCTTTGTTGTTGAAGAGTAATGGATAGTTTCTAAATACTAAGAAGTAAGTCTGTCGAATAAATCAGAGATTGATTTATGAGTTATTGATTATGTAATTGGAGTATTATGTGATTGAATTATATGAGAATTTATTAGAAGATTGATTATAGATGGAAGATTATGATTGTTGTTTATTGAGAGTTGTATATGTGTGTTTCAATAGAAGAAGTCTGTGATTACATGAATTCTATGAATTTAGATTCGTTGGAATGAAGTCTGTTATTCTTGGTGTTGGATGGAATTTATTGAGTTTTGAGTGGTCTTTTGAGAGTGCAAGGTTGCATATTGTGGTTATCAATTGATGAAGGAGTATTGTTACTGGGAGGAAGCATTGTAGTGTTTCTTAGTATTTTAGTGGTTTGGAATACAGTTAATTGTGTGACCCTAACAAGTGAAACTTATGCGCTTAGTCTTTTCCTATGTTTGAATTCCCCTATACAGGTTTATTCTGGAAGGAATTGTAGAATAAGTAAAACGACAATCATATTTTGGCACCATTGTCGAGGAATGACAATAACATTGAGTGTTAGGAATTAACTGTCAGATGAGTAGCTGGGAAATAGAAAGCAAATTCAGCAGCATATAATGAAAGATTATGGTTATTAAAAATGAGAACACTACAGTAAAGAAAACATGTCAGTCGAAAGAAAGACAAGAGAGAGCACAAGCAAGAAAATCATTGCGAAATGAGAAAGAACGCAAGTTAAAAAAGAAGCGTCAACAAAGTTGGATTAAGCCATGGTTGCATGCCTGTCAACATATCCGAGCATACCCAAAAGTTGACCGATCTCTAATATTTCAGACATATATACCATTAAAAAAATTACCAAGAGCACTTACAGGAAATTTTATCAACAGTCCAGCGTATCTCTTAAGCTCGTTAACTGCAAGTGGAGGAAACACAGAAGAATTGGGTACTCCATTGGGTACCTTCCCAATAGCAAAAACTGCCGATTCTGTAAAAATTGGTTTCGTAGAATGGTATAAATTGCTTGCCAATAACGATCAATTCTACGTATTTCAAAATTTGTCATTTTTACCTCCAATTCAACCAATAAACTTATTCAAGGATAATAATAGTAAATTGAGGAGGTTAAAAAGTGTCAAAAAGATAATTGGAGAAGGCAGTGGTAATTTTAATAAGAGATTAAGCGGTACATTGTCCTCTTCAATGGCGACGGGTGGTCTAGCGATTCCAATAGCAGTATAAATAGATGATGTGAGCAATCGCATAACAAGCGT